CTGTATTCAAATCTGGCCTCAGACACTCACTAGTTCTGTGATCCTAAGCAAGTCACTTAACCTCTGTTTGCCTTAATCCATTGGAGAAGGAAATGGCAAACCATTCCAGTACCTTTGCTAAAAAAAAAACACATAAGAAAATTGAGACAATAATGCAGTATTGGTGGAATTGATTCAACCACTCTGGAGAGCAATTTGTAACTATGCCCAAAGGTCTACAAAACTCTGCATACCTTTTGACTCTACAATGCCACTCCTAGGTCTGTATGCCAAAGAAATTTTTTTAAAAAAGGATAAGGACCCATATGTACAAAAATATTTATAGCAGCTCTTTTTATGGCAAAGAATTGGGGAATGGCTGAGCAAGTTGTGGTATATGATTATGATGGAATACTATTATACTATAAGAAATGATGAGCAGAATGCTTTAGAAAAACTGATGTACAATGGTTAACTATGAATGACTTAGCTATTCATAGCAACATAATGATTCAAGACAATTCTGAAGGACTTATGTTGAAAAAATGCCATCTAACTCCAGAGAAAGCATTGATGGAGTCTGAATGCAGATTGAAGCATACCTTTTAAAAACTTTATGTTTCTTGGTTTTTTTTTTTTTGGTCTATGTTTTCTTTCACAACATGGTTAATATGGAAATGTTTTACATGACTGTACATGTATAACCTACATTAAATTGCTGCCTTCTTAGTCAGGGGGGAGGAAGGGAAGGAGAGAATTTGGAACCCACGATTAAAAAAAAACCCAAATGTTTAAAATTGTCTTTATATGTACTTGAGAAAATATTTTTTTAATTTTAAAAAAGAAAAACCCTCATGGGGTCATGAAGAATCTGACATTACTGAACAACAAAAATAAGTGGGCATTTTATTCATTTTATTTGCATAATTCCAAATTGCTTTCCAAAAATGGTCGTACTTAATCTCAACTCCATCAACAATGTGCTAGTATGCTTATCTTCCCCATACCCCTTCAACCTTGTCTATTCCCACCTTTGGCCATTTTTGCCAACTTTAATCTATGATCTTATGGTTCCTCCTTCTCCCCCTCTGTGACCAGGTGAAATTTTTAGCACAAGGTTCTTAGATATCTTATAGATCAGATATGCGTCATCCATACTTGGCTGGAAGGCAGAGTATCCTGAAGATTCTGAAACGTGCTTCCTTTTCTCTAGAATTTTTCTGTTGGTCGTTAATAGAGATTCTCATCTTTTTTTTTATTATTATTTCAATGGCCTACTACAGTGCTATAAAATGTTTGAAAACTAGGCTGTAAAGGATGGAAGCCTCACTCCCAGAGCTCTAATGAATTAACTGAACTGTGGTCATTTAAGACAAGAAGCTAGCGTGTGTGTATGTGTGTGTGTGTGTGTGTGTGCGTGCGCACGCGCACACATGGACACTGAATGAATTAGTGTGCTTTCTAGAAACAGATTTCACTAGAGTTTTTGGTTTGTTTTTCTGACCTTAACGTTCTGTGGTTTCTGTTATCAGAACTTCTATGCCTGGGGCCCCATTACATTGCTGCTGGCATTTGAACCACATAATTTCCTGACTCAACCAGGTTTAATTATGCACTGAACTGTTCATGTTTTCAATAGCATTTCATGAATTCTCAGCAAACTGGCATACTTTGAGAATGGGATATTCTGGCTAATCGAATTCCAAAATAACTGAGAGTTGAACAAGTGATTCCCTTGTTTCAACCCTTGTAACTGATTCCCCCAGCCCCAGAAGCAATAGGCTCCTTTTCAGCCCTCTTAAAGACATTACAGTGAATATAATCTTTGCTTTGAATACATTCTTTCCTCTGCCTCGCAGAATCCTTATCTTGCTTCAAAATCCAGTTTGGTTCCCCAAAGCCCTCCTGATCATCTCTCTGTCCCTGCCCCACAATTGTCAGTGATCTCTCCTGCAGGTTACCTTGTATTAAGTTGTCCATTATCACCACTGTTATTCAATATTGTACTAGAAATGTTAGCTTTAGCACTAAGAGAAGAAAAAGAAATTGAAGGAATTAGAATAGGCAATGAGGAAACAAAACTATCACTTCGCCAATGATATGATGGTATACTTAGAGAACCCTAGAGAGTCAACTAAAAAAAAACTACTTGAAATAACAAACAACTTTAGCAAAATTGCAGGATATAAAATAAACCCATATAAATCATTGGCATTTCTATACATTACTAACAAAGCCCAGCAGCAAGAGAAAAAAAGAGAAATTCCATTTAAAATAACTGTAGACAAAATAAAATATTTGGGAGTCTACCTGCCAAGACAAACCTAGGAAATACATGAACACAATTACAAGTTACCTTGTATTATACTTGTCTGTATACATGTTATATTCCCCAAGGAGAATATAACCTTCCTGAGGGCAGGGATTTAATTTTTTTTTTTAATTTTATGTCACCAGCATGTAGCATAGTGCTTTGTACATAGCAAATAAGAAATGTTACTGAATTGAATATGAGAGTTTTGAAGTGGCTCAGTCAGTCAACAAGCATTTGTGAAGCACTTACTGTATGCCAAGCACTATGCTGGAGATGCGAAGAAAGGCAAAAACTCAAGCTCTGATCCCAAGATTACCTTCTAATGGGGAGAGACAACATACAACTAACAATGTACACATAAGATCTATGTAGATTATGTGAGATGACTGGTTCACCTTGCTTAGAAGAAGCGATCTGCTAGCTAGAATTATGCGACCAATCATTGGGCAAGTATTTGTTGAGCACCTGCTATGAGCCCTATTTTGTGCTAGGCACTGTGGGGGAGGATAAGAGCAGTATAACCACAGTCCTTATCTGTGAGCAATTTGAAAAATAAATCAAAGATGACCTTTACTGTGCAGGGGTGGACCCTAGGAATTTGGTTACACAAAAGGTAACAAGCATTATTAGGCGTCTAGCATGTGCCACATACTATGCTAAGCATTTACGAATATTATCTCATTCGATTCTCACAACAACGCTAGGAGGTAGATGCTATTATCATCCCCATTATACAGTTGAGGAAACTGAAGCACACAGAGGTTAAATAACTTGCCTGGGGTTACACAGCTAGTGTCTGAGGTCAAATTTGAACTCAGGTCTTCTTGACTTTGGTGCTCTATCCACTGAACCACCTAGCGGCAAATCAGGTCACCGGTGAAATATGATCTTTAAAAATAACAGCCAGGGCAGTCAGATGGCAATAAGGAAACCATGAGAAATTAGCATCACATTAATACTCTCTAAGAAGGGAGTTGAGCAAAAGGGAAGCAGACAGAAACAGAAACCTACAGCAGTAAGGGAGAGCTGTTGACAAACACCCGACCCACTTGGTAGGTTTGGCTCCCAAAGAGCAAAGGATGGCTTAGTAAATTCAGGCAGCTTGAAGAAAATAGGAACATTCATCTCCCAATTGCTCTGAATCTCTATGGCAAACTAACCTCTTAATTGAGTTTTCCAGGTGGGTTTTACTGTTGGGAAGAATTGTGTGGACATGAATTCCTGGTCTACTTGGCCACTGAATTTCACGTAGTAAACTAATGAAGGAATTGTGTTTTGGTAATCAAATACCATTATGTGTGTGAAATTGCAGCTGATAAAAGCTGAACACTATACACAAGATAGTAGATTATAAGTTCCTTGAGGGCAGGTACTGTTTTTGTTTTTGTTTTGGTCTTTGCACCCCCAAAATATGCACAGTGAAAGGCACATAATAGATGCTTCATAAATTTTGTTGAATTGAAGGTGTTGAAATAAAGATGAAGATGCAGTAGCATCATCAATGTCGTTGTTACATTAGAGGCATCAAGGTGCTGAAGTAGATAGAGCGCTGGACATGGAGTCAGAGAGATCTGAGTTCAAAATCTGCCACAGAGATTTGCTAGCCCTGGGCAAATCACTTAGCTTCGCTGAGGCTCAGTTTCCCTGGCTATAAAATGGAAATAATAATAACACCTACCTCACAGTGTTGTTGTGAGAACCAACTGAGATAACATGTGTAAAGTGCTTTGTAAATTTTAAAGTGCTTTACAAATGTTAGCTATTATTTTTACACATAAATTTCTTGTGGGTTTGGTTGGCCCCTGAGTCAAATTCTGAGGGCCAGCCAGCTCAGCACAGGCCAAGTAGTATATATATATATATATATATATATATATATATATATATATATATATATATATATATATATTCCCTGGATCCACAAAGTTAAGAACTGGATCCTAGAACTCAAAGGGTATTAAAGTTGACAGACTAAGAGAATAGGAAAGCAATCTATGTGGAAACACTGAAAGAAAAGTAAATAGTGTAATGTTTCAACTATGGAATTATCTCCCTTTTTTCTTCTCCCTTCTGATTTGGATAAAATCATTTTCATCCTCACTTTTTCAGCTGATAACAGAGTTTCAGCAAACTTTTTATGCACTTCATATCAGCATGTTGGAGGTGGGAGTTCTCAGGTTAACCCTGGGAGTCTGAATAAATTCCTATGATGTAAAGCCATCTCTTCAGGCATAAAGAAGTTTTTGTGGCAAGAAAGTGGGAAAAGGAGGACCATTTCTGCTATTATTCCCTTTCTCTTCCCCCAAAAGCCCTTCCAGGTGTGTGATCTGAGTATTCTGGGTGAAGGTAGCAGAGGATCACCTGGGATTCCCTTCCTCACCGTTAACTCTGGGCCTGACTCCCCCAAGCTCCAGACATCATTCATCAGCAGGAGCAGAATAGGCTGGTCTCAGGTTACCTGTGGTGAGGAACGAGCATGAGACTGAGATGGGAAGGGTGAGGGAGGGGAGCCCAGGATGTCAGCATGAGCACAGGTTCAGCGGGCAATACTGTAAGAGATTTCTCATTCACTGTGGTGGTGGCGGCGGCGACAACTGCTCCCAAGAAAGAAAAGCCTGGCGCTGGGGCCAGAGTTTACTGGTGACTTGATAGAGATTTTCCATCTATGCCAAGTCTTATAATTTCTCATACAGTCAAAGAGAGTGAAAATCGCCTCTGCCTCAGGTTCAGCTTCAAGGAGTTCCAGGAAAAGGATGGACTGGCCCCATTCCTGCTTTTCCCTTTGCTGGATTTTGTGGGCAGCCTCAAGACTGAGAGGTGAGAGCTCATGTGGTAGTGGTTGTACCTTTGTATCTGTCACCCTGGCTCAGAGTATCTGGTACTGAGAAGCAGATCTCTGGGAATGGGGGGAACTGTGTTAAGGGAGCTGACCAGGGGCACACATTCGATGCAAAAAGGGATGGATAAATGGGAATACTTCCCAAAAGCTACTTGTCAATTTAGCTCTGTTTCCTGGAGCAAGTCTGGGGTAAGCTTGATTTTGGGTGGGGTAGGGGAGGGCACATACAGCCCATTCTGCTCTGAGATACAGGCTATGCTCTGAGTATTGACTCAGTACCAATTTTTTCTTTAATGCAGTCATAGAGGCAGCAGAAGGAAAATATGCTCAAAAGCTATTTAATGACCTTTTTGAAGATTACTCCAATGCCCTGAGACCAGTGGAAGATACAGACAAAGTACTAAATGTCACTCTGCAGATTACACTCTCCCAAATTAAAGATATGGTAAGTAACAATAAATGGATGCCTATTAGAGCTGCTGTTTAGGACAGCAACCTTATTTTCAAAAAGAACAGCTTCTTAGCTAGGGTAGTGAGAGGGGATAGGAGCAGGAGGTATTTTGTGTTAGGCATAATGGGAGATGGGTGAGATAAAGGAGAGGGGCCTTCACTTCACAAAGGTGTTAATTTCACTGATGTTTTCTTTAGATATGAAATGAGGAAAATAACCCTCATTCTGCTCAGCAGTCTGGTATGTGAATGAGCAAAACAAAAATGTCTTGTAAGACCTTTAAAATCTGCTTGGAGAAAGAAAACAGAAACAAGGGTGTGTGTGTGTGTGTGTGTGTGTGTGTGTGTGTGTTTAAAAGATACTGTATCTTATTCTGCATTTGAGGGTACATTTAGTTATGAGATTTCACTTTCCTTCTCTGCATTATGGATATGTACGTCTCTGTCTGTCTGTCTGTCTGTCTCTGTGTGTGCCTCTTTCTCTCTGTCTCTCCCCTCCACCTCCACCCCCATCTTCCTTCCTCCCTCCCTCCTTCCTTCCCCTTCTCTGCTCCTCTCTTCTACCCTATTTCTCTGTGCTCTTTTTCTTCTCCTTCTCCCTCTCTGTTTTCTTCTTTCCTTCTCTCCCTCTCTTCTTTCTCCTCTTTCTCTCATCTCTCTTTTCACTCTTTCTCTCTTCTCTCTTTTACTCTTTCTGTCCCTGCCATTCTTCCCTCCTTGTATGTTTTCATGAGAAATTTGATCTGTTCATCAAATAGGACCTTGAACATCTGCCCATTTTAAGCTAAGCATAATTTTAAAAGATGGGCTTGTCATTAACTTAGAGAAGGAGAATTTTTAAAAGCTGTTTTTTGTGCATGTAACATGAAGCCCTTGAAATGGCCATAATGCAGAAGTAGACAATGCATTCTAGCCATAGGATACATCTGGTTTAGTTGTTGTCATCTAGAAGTATCCACATCCCAAGTCCTCTTGCAGGATGAGAGAAACCAAATTTTGACAGCCTATCTGTGGATTCGCCAAATCTGGTATGATGCATATCTCAAGTGGGATAGAGACCAGTATGATGGGCTAGACACCATCAGGATCCCCAGTGACTTAGTATGGAGGCCGGATATTGTTCTTTATAACAAGTAAGTTGGAATCAAAACTAATGGCGTGTCGCTATCTTCAGATATTTGGCATGTGTTTCAACTAGTAATTTATTTGAATCTAAGCACAAGGATATTCCTAGCAGGCATGAAATGAAGCCCTTGTTGTATGGGAATTGGACAACTGGTCTAATGAAACATTTAATGTATTTTTGCATCTTGTCTCTCTTTTGGCTTAGATTTCCTGAGTATCTGTGTTTGTGGGAACTCTGAGTGTATTCATGGCTATTAAATAATGTTTTTGCCCCTACTTCTAATGTAAGAGGAACAATCTAAGAATGTGTGCCACTAATAATAGCTAACATTTATATGGCAATTTAAGGTTTGCAAAGTGTTTTATTCTTCTTATTAATGTATGTGTATACTAAGTATGTAATACTTATATTACTGATATTTATATCATATTTACTTATTAAACATTATCTCACAACAACCCTGTGAAGTAGGTACTATTATTATCCCCATTTTACAGAAGTGGGAACAGAGGCTGAGCAAGGTTAAGGGACTTGTTGAGAGTCACACAGCTGGGAAGTATCTGAGGCAGGATTTGAAATCAGGCCTGCCAGATGTTGGGTCTGGCATTCTGTCCCCTCTACCACTTTAGTTGCCTATTAAGATAAGAAAGGGAAATACAGGGGCAGCTAGGTGGTACAGTGGATAGAGTATCTCCCCTGAAGTCAGGAGGACCTGAGTTGAAATCCAGCCTCAAACCAAACACTTGACACTTACTAGCTGTGTGACCCTGGGCAAGTCACTTAACCCCAACTGCCAAAAAAAAAAAAAGGAGACACAGTCATGACACTGTTCTCTATTCTTGTTTCAGAGCCTAGCAAGGCAGTTGGCACACAGAAGTAGTGGAGGCTGAGGGTCCTATGCATTTTGCCATTAAGTAAATGATGTGCAAATAGTTGCCAATTACTTTTGAGTAAATAGCTTGGGTACTTAAAACAATATGATTGTAGTCCTGGAGATGAACAGGTAGCTAGGCAGCGTCATAGAATCTGGGCCTTGGCAGCAAGGGGACCTGAATTCAAAGGCTGCCTCTGATGTTTGAAAACTGGGTGACAATGGGTAAATCAGTTGACCTATCATCTGTTAAATGGAGATAATAATAGTACCAGCCTCTCGGGTGGTGGGGATAAAATAAGATAATGTATATAAAGTGCCATAAAAATGTTAGCTGATTACTTTTATGTTATGAAAGAATATCAAATCTAGTTACCCAAATGTCCTTATAGGAGTTTGATGCCTACCAAGGACATTTAATCAGATGTTTCCAGTAAGTAATGCTCTCCCTGGGAATCTGACAATCTGGAGAGGGAAGACAGGGAGATATGGTAGAGAAAATACTGAATTTGAAGACAGAGGCCACATACACCCAGGTCTTTGCCCTGTGGGACACTTAACAAGTCATTTTCCTTTTCTATAAAATGGTTACTTACAAGGGCGAGATGAGGGAAGTGCTTTGCAAACTTTAAAGAGTCATAAAAATGTTAATTATTGTCATGAAATTTTTCAGATCACTAAAGGGTCATTGGCTAAATTACCACTTCTGGTTAGCACGCAAAATCTGGTAGGGAGTAAATTCATTTGGAAGACTCCTGCCTTGTCCCTGGCCTATGGTACATTATCTCAGTTTTCTATGGGTATCCTAAATTCAACATATTCATTACAAAACTTGTTACTTTCTTCCCTCCCCCAACCTGACCCTCCTTTATCCAATTGCTGTTGAAGGCACCCAGTTACCCAGGGTACATAACCTTGGAGTCATCTTTGATCTGGCCTCAGACCCTTACTAACTGTGTGGCCTCAGACAAGTCACTTAACCTCTATTTGCCTTGGTTTCCTCATCTGCAAAAATAGAGGTAACACAAGAATCTACCTTTCAGGATTGTTCTGACTTGTTGCCTGGCTCATAGTAGGCATTATATAAATGCTAGCTATTATTATTACCATTGTTATTATTATATTATTCCTGATTGTTCCCCTCCTGCCTATATTGAATCAGTTACCAATATTGATTCTACCTCCGAAGCATATTTCCTTCAGCCTGTTCTCTCTACTTGCATGGCCGCCAATCTGGTATAAGCCCATATCACCTGAAACTTCCTAATTAACCTCCCTGTTTCCAATCTATGGTCTCTCAGTCTGTCCTCCATTGTCCATACCACCATCAAAATAGTCTTTCTAAGCTACAGGTCTGACCTTACTCAAAAACATTCAATTATTCCCATTGCCTCTAAGATAAAATATAAACTCTTCCGCCGGGATAGCTTCAGGCTACATTTCCAGCCTTCATACCACTCTTCTTCACAAACTCTACCTTCCAGCCCCACTGTCTCTCAACCTTGACACTCCTCCCATCTCTGTGAAATTAGAACAGCAATCCCCCATGCCTGGAATGCATTCCTTTCTCATCCCCACCTCTCAGAATCCTTGTTTTCCTTCAGCACTTGGCTTAAGTGCCATCTCATCTATGAAGGCTTCCATAATCTCTCCTTCACCACCCCCCTGCCCCCAAGTTGTTCATGTTTTCTTCCTCCCATTCAGAAGTGTTTCAAAGGAACAATTCAACAGGACTTGGTAACTACCTGAATATAAGGAAAAGAGAAAGCTGATTCATGAACAACTCTAAACTTTTGAGCCTAGGTTGTTGTTGTTCAGTTGTGTCCAACTCTTTAGGACCCCATAGACCATAGCGTGCCAAGGCTCTCCATGGGAGTTTCTTGGCAAAGATATTGGAATGATTTGCTATTTCCTTCTCCATGGATTAAGGCAGATATAGGTTAATCAACTTGTCCAGGGTCACACAGCTGGTAAGTATGTGAGGTCAGATTTGAACTCAGGTCTTCCCAACTCCAGGCCCAGTGTTCTGTCCACTGAGCCTAACTGCCTTCTTGAGCCTAAGTACCTAGTAGAATAGGGGAGACTTTGAGGTAAAGAGTTAAAAGGTAGAGAGCTACTTTGGGGGATGGAAAAAATTGGGAAAGAAATGAGATGATAAATTAACAGCTTTTCTTTTTTCATTTCTGCCCCTCCCCTCCTTAGAGCTGATGATGAATCCTCAGAGCCAGTGAATACAAATGTGGTCCTCAGATATGATGGTCTTATTACTTGGGATTCCCCAGCTATAACCAAGAGTTCCTGTGTAGTTGATGTATCTTATTTCCCTTTTGATGATCAGCAGTGCAACTTGACCTTTGGTTCCTGGACCTATAATGGTAATCAAGTGGATATATTTAATGCATTGGATAGTGGAGACCTCTCTGATTTCATTGAAGATGTGGAGTGGGAAATCCATGGAATGCCTGCTGTAAAGAATGTGATCACTTATGGGTGCTGCTCTGAGCCTTACCCAGACATAACCTTTACACTTATTCTGAAGAGGAAGTCATCTTTCTATATCGTTAACTTGTTGATCCCATGCGTGCTAATATCATTTTTAGCCCCATTGAGTTTTTACCTCCCAGCAGCCTCTGGTGAAAAAGTGTCCCTGGGAGTCACTGTCCTCTTGGCCATGACTGTATTTCAATTAATGGTTGCAGAGATCATGCCTCCTTCTGAGAACGTACCTCTGATAGGTGAGTGGCAGTAATAGTGGTTATGTTAAGAGTAATGATGGCTATGTGCTCAAAGTGAGTGAGCCACAGTTTGACAGTGATGATGATGATGATGATGATGATGATGATGATGATGATGATGATGATGATGCAGGTAGTTAATAAATTGTCATTGTATTCCTATTGCCTTTAATATAGTAGATGCTTAATAAATGCTTTTGGGTTGGATCAGTCAGTTCCAGATTTATACCAGTATAATTGATTTGCTATTAGAATTGGCATAGATCACAGGTTGTTAGAGTTGGAAAGGAATTTAAAAATCATCAAATTCAACTCCTTTATTTTATAAGTCTTTAAGTGGCAAGGTGGATAATGAATTTAACTTGAAGAATTTTAATGACTGATCAAATAGAATTCTATCCATTCTTTAAAACTAGAGTAAACAGAGCTTTTGACTTGGGAAGTGTAGGGATAGTGGTAGAAGAAAACGAAAAATCGTTTTTAATGCAAATTGTTTTGTTTGTTTTTAATCTGAGGCAAATACTACATCGCAACAATGGCTCTGATAACAGCATCGACTGCACTGACCATCATGGTGATGAATATCCACTTCTGCGGTGCTGAAGCCAAGCCAGTACCCCAGTGGGCAAGGGTAGTCATCTTGAAGTACATGTCCAAGATCTTATTTGTTTATGATGTTGGAGAACGTTGTGCCAGCCCACGCCATAGCAAAGAACAAGAACATCACCAGAAGGACGGCAAACTCCCAGAGCTGCGTCGGAAAGGACCCAGAAACAGAGACAATAACATTTCGAGAAAGAAGGAAATCAACGGACTTTTAAATAATGACTTGGGAACCCAGGGTGAGAATCCCAAAGAGGCTGACAGTTACTGTGCCCGGTACATGGCTCTGACGAGGAATATTGAGTACATTGCTAAGTGCCTCAAAGATCACCGGACCAATAATGCAAAAGGAATCGAATGGAAGAAGGTAGCAAAAGTGATCGACAGATTCTTCATGTGGATTTTTTTCATCATGGTGTTTGCTATGAGTATTTTGATTATAGCTAAAGCATAATCCGTGAGGTTGAAAGAATGCTAGATCTGGGAGTCACAGAACATGATTTTGAATCTTGACTATGCTACTTACTCCTTGTGTTTTGTAGGGTAAGTCATTCACCACTCTGGGGATCAGTTTCCTCATTTATAAATTGTAGAGGTGGGGAAGCTTTGAGGAGACAGTCTACAATGAAAGGAGCACCATCACCAGAATGGGAGTCATAACACTTAGGTTCCAAGCCCCATACTCCGTCGTTCATTGTGTGACCTTGAGCACATCACTGCCTCCTTCTTTGGGCCTTGGCTTCCTCTTGTGTAAATTGACAGGATTAGACTTCATAATAGCTAAAGTTCTTTTGCACTCTAAATGAATAATTCCATGACTCTTCCAGCTCTGAACCATTTTCATAAGCCAGATATTAAGATTTTCTCTATCATGTAAATGAGGGTCAATATTATTTAAAACACATATATCACACCTGCATGTATGCGCATGCCCAAACACACACACACACACACACACACACACACACACACACGGCCTCAAACAAGGTCTAAAATATATCAATGCATTCTAGATAAAAACAAAACGAGATCTTAGACTTCAATTCTAATTATAAGCTTTTTCTCTGCTAAAGGCATTTCTGACACTTGCTAGCAGGTAAAAGGGGCATTTTTTTTTTTGGTAGAGAGGGAAGATGACCTTTGAACCTTGCTATACAAAGATTAATTAAAGATTACCATGAGAACCACCCCAAAATGGGGCTATATCAAGTCTGCAGGCTCCCTACCACTCCAGCAGGGGCCAGATGACCATTTAGGTGGGATAATGTAAACAGGATTCATAATTTGGGCAGGCCATTGACTCATTGACCTCTTGGATTCCTTTCAATTCTGAGATTCTATAATTGCGTATATAAAAATGGAAAAGAAAGTGTAGAATTTACTTCCCTTTAAGAACCCCTTGAAGACCAAGAGCTCCTCTTTTGCATGGTTTAAATAGGGCTTACACCATAACATGTACTCAAAAAGCATAAATTTATGTTATCTGACTTATGTGGGTAAATCGGGCTGTTTTACAAAAGGTAATAATACTATCTATATACACACAAAATTCGTTGACACACCAACCTATCCCCTTCTTCTTTCTTGGGATACCCATGCATGCATTTTTCCTTCTGCTTTCTGGGCATGTGGACAACCAGATGCAGCTTAAGCAATCCTACCCGATAGTCTTAGCTTAGACATTCCAAGATTGCTAGGTGGGGCCTTCTTGTGAATTGCAGCAGCTGCCACCATAGAACCACAGAACTTGACAGGGGAAGCTATTTCCCTCTAATCCGTGACTCTTATTGGTTTATACCTTTAGCCTAGGACAGTGGTATCAAGCTTTTTGAAGTCATAGAACCATACATATTTATCCTAAAATCTTGATCAAGTGGTAACATTTTAATGCTATATTAAGCCCTTGGTTCTTTAACAGACAAGTTCAAGCTCTACCATGCTAGAAAAGGGATCCGGGTATGGGTTGGGTGACAGACTGATTGTCTGCTATCTGGCAGAAAGGCTCAGGCTGGCTGTTGGATTGCCATAGTGACTTTAGAAAATGTACTACTCCATGTAAAGGGATGGCAGTTTTCATCAGTGAAGGCCAGACCCAGACCAATGAAATCAAGGGTCCTTGTCAAAATTGTAAAAGTGTGTGTGTATACATATATACATACATATATATGAGTGTGTGTGTACATATATATATATATATATATATACATATATATGTATATATATTAGAGTATAGTGATAATATATATACATATATATATATATATGTATATATATTAGAGTATAGTGATAATAAAGCAAAAATAATACTGGTTTTTAGAAAAGGATCCACTGTAGATACTTATGAAATATTGATTGGTTAATTGATCCATGTTGCTATGAAAAAAGGGAAAGAAGGTTGGGAAGGATTTTTGAAGATATTATTAATAATAAAAATCACAAGACAGTAAGAAAATAAAGTTAGGGATGGAAGTCATGGGGATTATAATAAAATTTCCATCATTGTTTGTTGTTGTTCAGTCATGTCAGACTCTTTGTGACCCCATTTGGGGTTTTCTTGGCAAAGATACTGGAGTGGTTTTGCCATTTCCTTCTCCAGCTCATTTTACAGATGAGAAAACTGAGGCAAACAGTATTAAGTGACTTGCCCAGGATCACACAGTCAGTAAGTGTCTGAGATAACATTTGAATCAAGGTCTTCCTGACTCCAGGCCTGGTGCTCTATCAGCTGCTCCAGCTAGCTGCTCTAATAAAATTACTTTGTTTTTTTATGTTGTTTCTTCTCAAGGTGACAGCAAAACAAATGGAACTCGTTTTTCACCTAGTACTGGTTACTTTCTGGTGTTGAGCACTATTGTACTTAGGAACAAATATGTCATTATAGGGTATACAAGGTGGGGAACCTGTGACGTTCTAGGTCCTTAAGTGCAGCCTTGCCAAATCCTTGATTTGGCCAAAAGGCCGCACTTAAGGACGTATAAGGATTTGTTCTGTAAAATTTGGATTCTGTCAAAAGGCCGCCCTTAAGGACCTAGGAGACAACATGTGGCCTTAAGGCCATAGGTTCCCCACCCCTGGTATAGATGATGGTGAAATCTGGAGATAAAATATAAATTCACATGTATACAAGTTGTCCCAGAAATCTTAGTGTGCTGCACTCCTTTAGGATACCCTGAATATCACTTTAAGATTTGCAAAGTGCTTTCCTCACAACTAAGTAGGCAGTGCAAACGTTATACTCATCTTACAGATGGGGAAACCAAGGCTCAAGAAGTTAAATAATGCCCATGGTGGCAAAACTAGGAAGTGTCTAAGCTGAGATCAGAACCTAGGTCTCTCCTAACTAAGCTAACTCTAGCTTTTTTTTTTTAACTTTTTATGATTCTATTCCTTGAAGGGAAACGATTTGGAAATAATATCCTCCTACAAACTTATTCAGGGGTGGGGAACCTGTGGCCTCACCACATGTGGGCCTCTAGGTCCTCAAGTGCAGCCCTGTGCTTGAGGAGCTAGAGGACCACATGTGGCCTCAAAGCTGCAGGTTCCCCATCCAAGAGGGCAAAGGGATATAGTTTATTTTTCTTCATATGACATTCCCAATGCCCAAGAAAGTGCTTTGCCCATTGGATGAGCATTAGAAATACTTGTTGAATTAAATCAAATTTAAAATGTAAAAAAAGGCCGGTTCTTTCACACACACAAAAACAGGGCTAAATCAATGGTTCCGCGCCCCACCCCCACACGCTGATGAAATTCACCACAGAAACTGAGTGGACATCTGGGGAATTGTTGGGTTCTGGGGAACACAGTTTAAAGCCCTTGTATAGACTGAGAGGTTTGTTTTGGGGCATAAATGCTAAGCTGACACTGAGGGCTGTGGGATAAAAGCCTTCTGGGTTTCAGTATTACACAGACTGATTACTTTATTCTCAGAAGAGAAAAGTTAGAAGCTGACCCAGTTGGTACATAAGCCCAAAGAAGTGAATTCGTTACCTTGTTTGGGTCCCTGGGGACTTGAAACATTGATCTGCACCACCACACAATACCCAACCCTGCCAAGATGAAGTCCAGGCTAAAGTTCATGTGATAACCCTAGTTTTCCTAATTGTTTCAACTAATGAGCCATGCCTGCATAGGGGGGTAATTGAAAACCTCTGAGAGTCAAAATATAGCTAGTCAATGTCACCATCTTCCAGAAATTCAGCTCCAGAAAGGGATTTGCATCATCAAATAAATGATCTGTTGAATTCTTAATGACATGTTTTGTGTGGAGTAATTAAAGCTGTAAGTGTATCTGGACCTTCATATATAATGTAAAGTCATAAAGCGATTGAGATTCTCGTGTTCACGTGCTCTGGGACTGGGTCCCAAGATCATCTACTATGAAGGCAGATGGCAGGAATCCAGAATGTTCTTTGCACTTTGGAATAGGCTGTCCAGCCTCCTTCATCTGGTGTACCAGGTGTGACCAGCACCTACACTCTAGCAACCTGGGGAGCTGCTGTCAATCAAAAGATCCCTGTTGTGTTCTAGAATTCCCAGGTCAGGGGTCTCTAGAGCTGGAAAGGTCCTATAGAGATTAACTAGTTCAACTCCCTCATTTTAGAGAAAAGGAGACCATGGCTTGTTTTGCTGTTGTTCAGTCATATCTGACTCATTGTGACCCCATTTGGGGTTTTCTTGGCGAAGACACCGGAGTGGTTTGCCATTTCCTTCTCCAACTCATTTTACAGATGAGAAAACTGAGGCAAACAGGGTTAAGTGACTTGCCCAGGATGACACAGCTTTTAAGTGTCTGAGGCCAGCACTATGCACTGCACCAGCTAGCTGGCTCTGTATTTTTATGGGGTGGCCCAAATTCTCTTAGCACCAACTTCAACATTGGATTGATATTCAGTTTAATCTCACAAATGTTCATTAAGTGAGTACTCTATACAGGGTATCCTGAAAGTCTTAGTGAAGCTTTTAAACTACTAAGACTTTCTACTACTAAGGACCCCTTGTATGTACTGACTCTTGGCTTTTGGGGCTTCCTTCAAGATTCAGCTCAGAACCTACCTTCTGTAGGCAGACTCTCCTGGCCTCCTCTCCCCAGTCTCACCCTTCGTGCCTTCCCTTTACATTGTATAGCTCTTATATGGGGAAATAGTTATTGGAATGTTGTCTTCCTTATTAGGATGTGAGCCTCCTGAAGGCAGGTAAGGGATGTGTCTTTGACTTTCTTCATACACTCAGCTCTTAACACAGTGCCAGGCACAGAGTAAGTACTTCATAAGTGTTTGGTCACTAAAAAGGCAAAAAGAAAATAATCCCAGCCTTAGAAGACTAGAAAGGGACTAAAGTCCCTTTCAACCCCTTCCTATAAGGGGAAGAGAAGGGCAGGAGAAAGGGGGAATGAAGAGAATTCAATTTTAGCAATATGGATTGTGCTGTAGGTACAACTCGGTGCTAGATGCTAAGGACACAAAAATGAAAAAAAGCACCAATGCTATCCATGAGGTTTTCTTGGCAAAGATACTAGAGCACTTGACGTTTCCTTCTCTAGTGTATTAAGGAAAATAGAGGTTAAGTGACTTGTCCAAGGTCATACAGCTAGTCTGAGGCCAGATTTGAACTCAGGTCTTCCTGACTCCAGCCTCAGCACTCTATCCATTGAGCCATCTAGCTGCTTCCATAGATATACACATACATACACAGAGAGTTATTTGTCTGTTTTGAAGAGGACCAATAACATCTTGGGGTGATGTCTTGACTCTCAAGTGAACTGGATTTAAGAGTTGCTTAAAGTCATCAGCCTCACTCTCTCTTCCAGAGTCACTTGAATCCAGTGTTAAGACAAGTCAGGATAACTGGTGATGGCCTAGGATGCAGTGGATGACATGGGTGTCTTGGATGTTTGACCAGGCTCTTAGAACTCTGCAGCACCTGCTTCAGCCACCGACATTGGCCATTGGAACATTGTTGTCATCTACCCAGTCTGTTGAGGTTCAGGGATTTAGGGGTGCTGAGACTCCAAAATCAGAACACACGGGTCCTGTCCAAAAGAATTCGACCCAAGCCTTCTTAGAACATCTGTCATGTTGGGCAGACTCTTAAGGAGTCTGAACATTAGTGAACTATTGGCTAGATTGTAAGAATCTGAGCACCTTAATGGAGACAAGACGGACCTTATATACAGAAAGGCTGTGGGAGAGATCTAAGAGTGGCCAAGCAGTCTGCAGGGACTGTGAGGTAATAGATGGCAGGGACCTGGACCATGTGACTAAAGGAGAATGGAGCCAAATAGAATGAAGGGTGAGAAGTGGCCATTGGGAGGTAAGACAATAGAGAACTAGGTTAGGTTAAGGGTAACAGAGAACTGGGAGGTTGGGTGTAGCCACAATGAAAGGCTAGTTGATGGGATTGTAGCCTTAGGCAAACGCCAGAGATTTGGCCATATGGGAAAGTCCAGGGTTTTTCCTTTTTGGGGTCTACATCCCATCCTCATCAATTCCAATGGTAGAAGTCTTCACATGCTTTGGGTAGACATTCCTTAACCCACCGATAGGTCTGCGGCCTGTCAATTACCCTCAACCTGGTTTAGCCCCATCTGCCTAGATAGTTTTTTACTGGGGTGTGGCCGCTGCGCATGCTACACTTTCTTGGAGCCACAGTGAGAACTGGGTGAAGTTGGACACCAAAGGTGTTTGAGTAGCCCTGAAAAGGGCTCAGCGAGCCCTCATGCCAGGTGCTAGTCCTCTTTGAGCACCCCAATATATCATAGATATAAATATGTAGATAGAGATATAGAGATAGATGTATATGTGTGTATGTATATATATATATATATATATATATATATATATTTATATATATACACATATGCATCTATCAAGATCTCTCTAATCTCTATGTCTGTCTATCTATCTATCTATCTATCTATCTATCTACTCTACAAGGTGGAGTATGATAA